AATCCTTCAGCTTCTCTTATTTGGAGAAGCATTCCCCATTATTTAGTTTCTTTTTTTTTTTTTTTTTAAGATTTTATTTATTTATTTGACAGACAGAGACGCAGCGAGAGAGGGAACGCAAGCAGGGGGAGTGAAAGAGGGAGAAACAGGCTTCCTGCTCAGCAAGGAGCCTAATGTGGGGTTCGATACCAGGACCTTGCATCATGACCTGAACCAAAGGCAGACACTTAACGACTGAGCCACCCAGGCACCCACCCCCCCCATTATTTAGTTTCTTAGCTGCTCTTAAACTGTAATTAATTTGTTGTGTATAATGTTGTTGTTATTATTTCACAGTACTTGAGGTTGCAAAAAAAGTCACATTTTTCCCCTTCAAAAATAACTTAAATGTATTTGAAGAGCAGTTTAGCAAAGTTGAGAAGTAAGCCACTTTCAGACATTTTAGGAGATCACTGTCTCCCTCTAGAAAAAATACCAACCAGAGGATAGTTCTTGTTCCCCCTATTTAAATATTACAGCAGAAATGAGTAAGCCACATGCTTTGTTGAAGGAAAATAGCACCTCTTAATTTGCCCTCCTTTTTTTCCCTCCAGTTATCACTTTTACTAGTACTGAAGTTTGTTTTGCTAATGTGTCATTTTCTCCCTCAGTCTCCATAATTGCTGTGACTGAATTCAAACAAGTATTGGAGTAACTAGTTCTGTCTTATACTAATTCTGACATTGATACCAGGTTGTTCATATATTCATGCAAAAGATATAAAATGATGGCAGTGTCTCTCTTGTCTAATTGTTATATATCAAAAGTCCACTTACCTCGGGGCACCTGGGTGGCTCAGTGGGTTAGGCCGCTGCCTTCGGCTCCGGTCATGATCTCAGAGTCCTGGGATCGAGCCCCGCGTCGGGCTCTCTGCTCAGTGGGGAGCCTGCTTCCTCCTCTCTCTCTGCCTGCCTCTCTGCCTGCTTGTGATCTCTCTGTCAAATAAATAAATAAAATCTTTAAAAAAAAAAAAAAAGTCCACTTACCTCTAGCAAAATGAAATTGAATTAGATACCAGTAATGATGTTTTTATAGTTACAGTCATCAAATAATTTTATTTTGGCTAGCAAACAGCCATTTTAATACTTAAAATAAGTAAAACTACGTTAATACATAGTAAGTACTGTTACAGGTCAAATAAATCTTTACCTCTAGCCAAAATAAAATTATTTGATGACTGTAACTATAAAAACATCATTACTGGTATCTAATTCAATTTCATTTTGCTAGAGGTAAAGATTTATTTGACCTGTAACAGTACTTACTATGTATTAACGTAGTTTTACTTATTTTAAGTATTAAAATGGCTGTTTGCCTGTAACAAGATGGGCTTGTTCCTGATTTTTACTTCAGAAATCCTCTGTAAACAGTGAAACCCACATGGTGGAATCTCAGCAAGAGGTGGAGACCTTTAAAAACATTCTACTTCCTGAGCCAGAATTCCATTGTAGTGCTTCATAGATCTTCAAGATCTGTGCCTTCCCCTGCCAAGAAAAGCCACAATGTATTTCCCAGTCTTCATCCTCATATAATAAAACATTACAGCTTCAACTCTAGCTCTACCTTATTGCTGTTAAGTTTTTCCCCATTCTGTTATTTCCATATATGACTACATATATACATATGCATATAAAAAGACTGGGTTTTTTATGTATGTGAAAGTAGAAGTAACCAAAGAAAGAAAAGCAGTTTTCCCCTCCCTCCAAAAAAACCAGACAGACCAAACAAACACACATAAAAATTTCAGATTATGTACAGATAGGTTTCACTCTTAAATAGAAAAATGGGGCCAAAATTATTTGGGTATATTTGAAACGTCCTGGTGTTTATAATTGCTGTCAGAAGAACAAAGTTGTGGCTCATCATACCACAGATCAGACCATGGACCTCTTCCTTTGAAAATCTGTGGTCTCCTTGGTTTTTGGTGAGATACCCTCTAACCTAGTGTTCTGGGTTTGAAACACTATAACCCCTTCTCTTACTCAAGGAAAAGTTTATTAACTTAGAAGAAAGAAAAAAAACAAGAGAAATTAGATGTTCATTCTGGGAACTCATTAATTTTTTTTTCTAAAAATGAATTTTATATAAGAGAATGACCTCATTTTGTCAGCTACAATAATTTCTTAGCCTTTTTCTAATTATTGATTCCATTCTGAAAAAGTATTTTTTATAAGAAAAGCTCACTCGGGGCGCCTGGTTAGCTCAGTGGGTTAAAGCCTCTGCCTTCGCCTCAGGTCATGATCCCAGGATCCTAGGATCGAGCCCCACATGGGGCTCTCTGCTCAGTGGGGAGCCTGCTTCCCTTCCTCTCTCTCTGCCTGCCTCTCTGCCTACTTGTGATCTCTGTCTATCAAATAAATAAATAAAATCTTTAAAAAAAAAAAAAAAGAAAAAAGCTCACTAGGTACACAGTTTCTCCATTTTTGATAATAAAATACATATTCAGGTACCAAGCAGAACTTGTAATCAACATGAAATAACCAGTGTTACCTCTCTAATCATCTCATGCCTAATCATTCAGTTCTATGAAGTTTCCTCAAGTGTTGAATGTGGTTCCCAATTACTACTTTAATGGAACTGAAGGCATCTTATACCTGTTTTTGGAAAATCTGGATGAGAAGAAAAATCTAGTGTCCATATTGTGACCTAATTCCTCTTGCGTATCAGTCAGTCTTACTTGTTTAATTTATAAAATGAGGATAATAAATGATTAACCACTTAAAGGCAGGGATCTGAATAAGAAGACATTCTGGAATGTTTTCTAGTTTTTGCTTGATTATTCAGCAGATACTTAAAATGCCAATCACTGGACTACATAAAAGGAAGGACAAATATGGAATCTGCCTCAATAGGGTTTTACAATTTCATTCTTACATGTGATTCTGGTGTTACATTATCAACTAATTCACAACCTTATTGTTGTGTTGTATTTAAATAGTATTGAATTTTACTGGCTTAGGTATTTGGCCTCTAGACTTCTAGCTGCAGGGAAGCAAATGCTACCTTCTTTCCTCATACAGTTTCAAGTAGGATTTTTTGAAACACAAAGATTTTTAAAAGACCAAAAAGAAATCTAGGTATGAAGCAACTATAAGACCCCCTAGAAATAATCTTATTACTTAGAAACCATCCATATTGTCACCTTCAATATGTCAATTATTACTTCTTAGAATACTTGTTTCATTTAGATACAAGGATTAATCTCTGGGGAGTAACCTTAATTGTCTAAAAATAAAAGTGCCTCTGGTAATGAATAATTTGAACATGACTTGAAGAAAAGCAATATAAGGAATGTGAATCATCAGGTTTTTTTTTTTAATAGAATATACAAAGATAGATAAAATATATCTATTACATAGTTATCTGGGATTTGTTACTAGCATTGTATTACCACATATTTCTATATACACATTCACATAAACCCTTAGGTTGTAATGTAAATGATAATTTTGTCTATTTGATGGTCAAAGGGTATATTAGCACCTAACATTAGAATCTGGGGTTATCATTGGGTGACACATACTTTGAAGTTATCCCAAAATAGCGCCTGGATGGCTCAGTGGGTTAAAGCCTCTGCCTTTGCCTCTGGTCATGATCCCAGGGTCCTGGGATCAAGCCCCACATCAGGTTCTCTTCTTGGCGGGGAGCCTGCTTCCTCCTCTCTCTCTCTCTCTCTCTCTCTCTCTCTCTCTCTCTCTCTCTGCCTGCCTCTCTGCCTACTTGTGATCTCTGTTAAATAAATAAATAAAATCTTTAAAAAATAAAAAATAAAAATAAATAAAATTATCCCAAAATAGTAACACCTAAGTTTATAAACATGGTCATAAATGTTTCTAAAAATGATATAGTCATATTTGCAACTATGTTTTTCATTAATGATGCAAAGCTAAAATCTTCACAGTTTATTAACAGCAAATGATAGAATTTGTCCCCAGTAGATTTATAGTCCAAATTAAGCATCCTGAAGTACAGAAAAGGTACATCTAAAAGTATTCATTTTTTTTAACCTGTCTCCTAAACTTTCAGAGACTTTGTAATTGTACTGAAAGAACTTCATAGATAAGATAATCTTGAGACCAGAAAGGGAAGTTTGTGATGCTTGTGGCTTATGTAAGAAACAACATAAAACATTTTTCAGTATTCTAGATGTGTCAATGACTTGAGGCTATAAATCTCAACAAAAGAAGCAACTCAATGCTTTAGAATTATAGTGGATAAGAAGAAAATGATGTAAGCAATAAAGAGGATGGCTAAACACTTGAAAGAATTATAAATCTCTGCTATCCAATAGAAGATTATTAAAAATAATTTTAGAATGGATAGTCATATTGGCTAGACTTTTAAATTTACTAGAGGACTGCAAACTTAAGAGAACTTTTTAGGGTTCAAAAATGTAGCTTTCTAAGAGATGAATGTGAATTTTTTTAATCAGTGAAAGCAAAAAGTTTTTTTAAATCATATTGGTAAGAATTTATTTATGATGCAGACAACTAAGAGAAGTCAAAAATGGTGATAAGATTTTATATGTCTGAAATAGGGTGAGTGAAATTGGAAAGTAGGTCTTAAAAAATCCATAGTGTCTTTGTGTTTAGACTTAGAATTCTCTGGCTCTTAACTTTGGTTTAAAGATATTAGCTAACTCGCCAAAGTTTTATTTTCTTACAAATATTTAGTTGTTTTTTTCTTTAAGATTTTATTTATGTATTTGACAGAGACACAGCGAGAGAGGGAAGTAGGAGGGAGAAACAGGCTTCCCACTGAGCAGGGAGCCCAGTGTGGGGATGTGGGGCTCGAATCCAGGACCCTGGGATCATGACCTGTGCCAAAGGCAGACACTTAACAACTGAGCGACCCAGGCACCCTAGTTGTTTGTTTTGTCTTTTAAATAATTTTCTTTCTTTGTGGAAGTTGAGTTTTACCAAGGAATATGGGTACTAAATAATGTTTCTTTTTTACTATAGGTAAAACTTCAGTGAAGAAGCTGACAAAAAAGGTAAGCAATGTGTGTGGGAGAGTTCTTTCTTCCTTTCTGTTTTTTGGTGACATAGAAAATGAACTTTTATAAGTTAAAATTTAAAAATTTCAATGTGTATTCAAAGGATATCGAGGATATACTGGCAGGAATCCAACCAGCTCGTTGTGGATCAACCTTTTTTAGAGACCTTGGTGATAAAGGTAATTTTGATTTGTTAAATTTCTACTTGTTTCATCTAACCAGAGTATTGTTAAGGGGTTGTTGTGAAGTCTGCAACTGTATGGTAGAGAGCCAATGTAGAAAATGCCATGTTCTTTTTAATAGATTTTTAATGCCAAGTTCTTTAATAGATATTTTTAAATCATAATAAAACGTTCATTGAGGGGTGCCTGGGTGGCTCAGTCATTAAGCGTCTGCCTTCGGCTCAGGTCACGATCCCAGGGTCCTGGGTTCGAGCCCCACATCGGGCTGCCTGCCTGCTTCTCCTTCTCCCATTCCCTCTGCTTGTGTTCCCTCTCTTGCTGTGTTTCTCTCTGTCAAATAAATAAAATAAAATAAAATAAAAAAAAACAAACAAAAAAAAAGTTCATTGAGAAATAATTTTCTCAAACTCTCTGAGAGATTACAGCTTAATTATTAAAACATCAATTTTAATTAAAGCTTGGGGAGGAGGAATGTAGCAAGTGAAGGCCTCAGAGAGATCCAGAGGAACACCAGCTTTTAAGGGAGTAGAAGAGGAAGTAGTGCTCGTGAAAGAGACAAGGGCAGAATGACCAGAGAAGTAGAGGAGAATCAGGAGAATGTTATCACAAAAGTCAAGAGGAGAAAGTGTTAGGGAAAGAAAAAAGTAAGTTCAGGCCACTTGAGAGACATGGGTGTGAGCAAGGAGATTTAAAGGTCAGTAGCTGAGGGTGGAGATAGAAGGCCAGAGGAATGTTGTTTAATGTTAAATGAAGATACTTGAGCACATTTCTTATCGATGAGAGGGAAACATATATAATAAAATGTTAGATGAAGATACTTGAGCATATATCTTATTGATGAGAGGGAAACATACATAATATATTATATATAATATAGCAATATAATTATATAATACCTAATAAGATATAAGAGAAAGGAAGTGTGAATGGGAGAGAATCCTAGAAAATGTGAGAAAAGGGATCACATCAAAAATGGAAGGATCAGCATTCCACAGGGTGCATAGCTTTTTTCATTTTATCAGTAGGAAAGGATGAACAGGTGGGTAATTTAATGCAGGCATTTGCAAATTTAGTGGCAGGAAGTAAAAGCAGGTTGTTCTGGATAGGTTTTATTTTTTTTATAAAGTAGGACATATGGAGAAAGAAGGTTTGAAGTAGCTTCTGTGGTTAGGAAAGAGACCAGACCAGAGAAACATAGAGTTCTGGGAAACCTGAAGGGATCAGAAGATAGTGTAGGTCATGAAAGAAAAGTCACCAGTCAGTGCAATTGTGTGATGATCTTCCTGCAGGCTACATGTAGGAACAGAAATGTTGGACATTTGTACTGGATTTAGGATTTTGCTGAGCAAATGGGTGGAAGAAGAGTCACAGACAGGGGGTAAGGCTGTTGAGGGCAAGAGGGGTTTTTAGTAATGAGCCATGGAATCTAAGCAAGATAATGGAGAATAAAGTAGAATAGTAAAAGAAAGTAAAAGGGAGATGAAAAGAAGAAAGTGGGGCAGTCAAGAGGGAGCTGCCAGTGAGGTTGAAGAATAGGTATAGTAGGAGTCCAAGAGTAGAAAAGAACTTGCAGTCATAAAGTGTTTAGATTTATCATTTCACAGATGAAACGGTTCCAGCAGATTTCAGGGTTCTAGGTGTGGTCCTGGAATTAGATGACTAAAGCAGAAGTAGATTGCAAAGTTAACATAGTGAAAGTTCTCAAGGATCTGAGAGAGAGGGTATTTTCAGAGAGAAGGACAGTGAATCAAGTACTAAAGTCTTCAGGGACTAAAAGATGATGAGAGGGAACTTAGGTAGATGACCACTAAGAAGAAAAATAAAAGGTGGCCTGGCTGGATGGAATTAACCTCAAAGACACAAAGTTTTTATAAGAGGTTAGAAGGGAAAAGGTCTGGAATTAGCACTGAGGTAGAAAAAAATAAATAACCTCCATTTTAGAAGTCTGCAGAGGTACCAGTACCCTTAGTAGAGAGATCCAGATTTTGGATAAGGCAAGACTGCACATGCAGTAAATAGATTAAAGATGTGTACTGTGGAAAGAGAATTTCAGAGAGCACGGTAGGAAAGCTTGGGTAGAAGTAGAGAAGTAGGAGATTGGTTGAATCAGGAAAGATGAAGCATACACCAGCATGCAGATGTATAAACAAAGAGAATAGATACTATTTTGGAAAGGGTGATGAGGCTGTTGAGAATGGTAGGACATAAGCCAGAGAGGTACACAGAGCCTAAATCATACATCCCTTTACAGGACGTATTAAAGAGTTTAGACCTTGGGGCGCCTGGGTGGCTCAGTGGGTTGGGCCGCTGCCTTCGGCTCAGGTCATGATCTCAGAGTCCTGGGATCGAGCCCCACATCGGGCTCTCTGCTCGGCGGGGAGCCTGCTTCCTCCTCTCTCTCTGCCTGCCTCTCTGCCTGCTTGTGATCTCTCTGTCAAATAAATAAATAAAATCTTTAAAAAAAAAAAAAAGAATTTAGACCTTATCCTAAGAAGAGTAGATTGCCATTAAAAAATGAGAAAGTGACAAATCAGATGAGAACAGTCACTCTAGCAGCTGGGTGGTGAATGGATTGAGGAGGAAGCAAAAGAAACAAGAGGTTTTGCATTAACAGCAAGGGGTTATATGCTAGAGAAGAGGTAGTAAAAATGGAGAGAAGAGTATAGATTTTATAGGTATTTTGGTGATAGAATTGGTAGGACTTAATGACTGATTGGATATGAGAGGGGACAAAGAAAACAGAATCGTGTATGGTGCCCAAGTTTCTGGTTTGATCAGCAAGCTGAATGTGCCATTCACCAAGACACATGGGTCATAGGGAAAGGACTAAGTGTGGGGAGGGAAGGGCGAGGAATGAGTCCAGTTTAGGACATACTGAGTTCAGATTTAAGAATATTCCGACACACAGCAAAGGAAACAGTCAACAAAACAAAGAGGCAACCCACGGAATGGGAGAAGATATTCGCAAATGACAATACGACAAAGGGCTTATATCCAGGATTATAAAGAACTCAAACTCAACACACACAAAACAGATAATCATATCAAAAAATGGGCAGAAGACATGAACAGACACTTCTCCAAAGAAGACATAGAAATGGTTAACAGACACATGAAAAAATGTTCATTATCACTAACCATCAGGGAGAGTCAAATCAAAACCACATTGAGATACCACCTTACACCAGTTAGAATGGCCCAAATTAACAAGACAATAAACAGCGTGTGTTGGAGAGGATGTGGAGAAAGGGCAACCCTCTTACACTGTTGGTGGGAATGCAAGTTGGTACATCCACTTTGGAAAACAGTGTGGAGATTCCTTAAGAAATTAAAAACAGAGCTTCCCTATGACCCTGCAATTGCACTACTGGGTATTTACCCCAAAGATACAGATGTAGTGAAAAGAAGAGCCATCTGTACCCCAATGTTCATAGCAGCAATGGCCACAGTCACCAAACTGTGGAAAGACCCAAGATGCCCTTCAACGGACGAATGGATAAGGAAGATGTGGTCCATATACACTGTGGAGTATTAAGCCTCCATAAGAAAGGATGAATAACCAACTTTTGTATCAACATGGATGGGACAGGAAGAGATTATGCTGAGTGAAATAAGTCAAGCAGAGAGAGTCAATTATCATATGGTTTCACTTATTTGTGGAGCATAAGAAATAACACAGAGGACTTGGGGAGATGGAGAGGAGAAGGGAGTTGGGGGAAATTGGAGAGGGAGACGAACCATGAGAGACTATGGACTCTGAAAAACAATCTGAGGGTTTTGGAGGGGCTGGGGGTGGGAGGTTTGATGAGCCTGCTGGAGGGTATTATGGAGGGCACGTGTTGCATGGAGCACTGGGTGTGGTACATAAACAATGAATTCTGGAACACTGAAAAAGAAATTTAAAAAATAAATAAAAATAGAAAAAAAAAGAATATTCAGACATCTAGGGATGCCTGGGTGGCTTGGTCAGTTGGTTGTCTGCCTTTGGCTCAGGTCATGACCCCATGGCCTTAGGATTGAGCCCCTCATTGGGGTCCTTGCTCAGCAGGGGTGTCTGCTTCTCCCTCTCTCTCTCCGCCCCTGCTTGTGCTTGCTCTCTCTCTCAAATAAATAAATAAAATGTTAAAAGAAAAAAAAAAAAGAATTGTCAGCCATAAATGACCCCTGAAGCCGCTGTTGCAGATGCAACCATACAGGAAGCACTTAGGAGAGAAGAGGCCCTGAGATAAAAGTTCAGTTTAAGGGGCGCCTGGGTGGCTCAGTGGGTTAAAGCCTCTGCCTTCAGCTCAGGTCATGATCCCAGGGTCTTGGGATCGAGCCCCACATCGGACTATCTGCTCCGTGGAGAGCCTGCTTCCTCCTCTCTCTGCCTGCCTCCCTGCCTACTTGTGATCGCTCTGTCAAATAAACAAAATCTTTTTTAAAAGAAATTTTTAAAATAATATTTAAAAAAAAACAGCTCAGTTTAAAGAACGCACAGAAAAAGAGAGGGCCCCTTTATAAGGCTTGAGAAGGAGTGGTCAGTCAGGGACTCACCCACGGGAGTGACCTCACCAGTGCGGTGCTGTAAGTACTTCCTTCCAAAACAAATGTACATGATCAATAACAATTTTAACAGCTACAAATACTTACTAAAGGTTTCCTATGTATCAGATACTATACTGACCTTCTTACATGTATTACTACATTTAATCCTCACAACATTCCTTTGAGGAAGCTATCTTCATTTCATACCCCCATTTTATAGCTGGGTTAACTGAGGCACAAAGGGGTTAAGTAACCTGCCCAAAGTCATATACAGGTAGTAAAATCAATTTACAAATAGCATTTAGTGGAAGAAGAGTTAAGAGGGCAGAGTAGTATGCTTGCCTTGTCCCATGAACACAGCCAGATAAATACAGATCACTCTGAACATCCAAGAAACTGATCTGAGGACTGAGAGAACAAACTGCACAAACTGGAGGAAGAAAAGAGGCCACAGCATGGAAGGTAGGCAA